CTCACTGGAAATTTTTTTTTTTTTTAAAGTTTGGCTGTAACTATAATATGGATCTTGGATTTAATTTGACATTTATAGAGAAGGAGAAAAATTGTGTTTCCTATTTTCATATTTAGAAATTTCTGATCAACATTCTTGAACTTGGTGCTAATTAAGCTTCTAAAAACTTCTTACCATTCTGTTTTACCCTTCTTCATCATAAGCATTAAAACCTCTGGTAGCTTTCACTCGGAGTCCCTGGTTTTAACTTGAAACGGCTTAGGGTAGAAATTTTGTTAGCTTTTTGTGTGTTTGGATTTTGTGTGTGTTCTGTTTTTAACTTTCAACTTGAGTTTTAAGATCATCAATCAAAGGCTTTTCTTTCAAGTCAGTGGCACTGATCTCAATTGCAGGACTTAGACGGTCAGCATTTCCCTCATGCTATTAAAAAAAATGTAAGCATTGAAATAGAGCATTTTAGGAATTTGTGCTCCACTGATCTTTTCATCACACATCTACATTTTGAAATGAACAAATAAATTAGATATAAAAAAACTCAGGAAATGTTCTCCCACTGTTTCCCCGTCTCTCCCTCCTTCACTCTTTTTGGACAAAGGTAAATTATCAACTACTGTACTAGCTTTCAGCAAGCTACAAAGTGACTGATTACAGCTCTTTGTATTTTAGAATACATTCATTTACTCAGGCTATCTCTTTCCTTTATTTAAATGTTTTCCTGCAAACATTTTCTTTTTCTTTTTGAACTATTGAAAATGTGTCTCATCTCGCAACATTCTATAACCCCGGTGGACATTATAATCAGCCTGTGCTTTTGTCTTTCAGATGGCATTTATTTGTGGGGTGGTATGTCTGTGTCTGACTGTCAGTTGTTTTCATCTGCTGAATACAACTAATTTTTGTTTATGGGTTTCAGCGAAGCAATGAAAACAAAGTATTGACGTCCAAACTGATGGCTGTGGCAGGATCTTGTACACCTCCCTACCCACACCCCAAATTTAGAGCAAATTGGTTTAGCCTTGTTATTAATAATCTGTTAACTGCATCAAATTGAGTCTTCGGAGTTTTCCTTCCAGATAGGATTCTGTGATGGATAATATTATAAATTTAAAGCTTTACCAGGTTTTTAAGAGAACGCCTTAGTTTCAGCAGAACAAAATCCACTTTCTCCAGATTGGAGCAAGTCCCCTTGATGGGCCTTCTGACCAGAGGAGAATTCACATTGGATGCAATGAATCCAAAGGAGACTGAAGTGAATCTTCAGTTCATTTCTGATTTTTATTTGCAAGTGAATGCAGTGTTAGGTGTGTAGATTTCATGTTTGGTTCAAACTCTGAGGGTTGGTATCACCTTGTGGGCAGAGCTTTGTAGATGTTGTTCCTTTTCTAACAACACTGTGCAATCTGCTGTTTGATATATGCATGACTAAAAGATTTGCGCAACTGTCTGTCCTCCATGCATCCCCCCACCCCCTCTGCTCTTATTTCTTCCCACATGAAGTATCGTTGATTTTGTTAGGAAGAAAAGCCCTTTTAGAAATTGCCTATTTCATAAATTGTCTGGTGACACAAGGGGTTGAATGCTGAATTCTTGTCTCATTTATTTTGAAAACTTTGCGACTGAACTCACCTTAATCAATGAGCTCAGTGTTGTCTCCAATAAGTTATGTGTTGGATATATTGATTGGGAAGGATTTTAGAAAACCCGTCTGGGGTTTATAATGTCAGCAGTGTTTTGATTATGAAAAGAGTTGGAACCTGGGGACATGGAACCAGGTGGCGAATGTCCTAAAGCCAGTGGTGACATGGTGGACTGGTTCCCTCCTGGGATCTAGTTCATGCCCTGCACTTTAACTGTGGTGACTGGCTACTATAGATTCACTTTTTTGCTCATTAAAATGTTAAAAAATCAAACTGTACATAAAAAGATTTGTGAAAATATAAACTTGGGAATTGATCTGGAGAGCTGGCACAATTTTCCCCACCCCCTGCCTTAGCAATGAGTTCATTTACATTTCATCAGCCGTACTGCATCTTGAAGATCTGATTTATGTGGCAGTAGTTGAGGTTGTACTGAGGCTGGTTGTCTGAAAGAGCTTGTGTAGGCAAGAGGAAGAGGGGAGAAAACAGAAAATTACCATTTACAAAGAAAGTTCCCTAGCCAGAGACACAGATCCTAGTGAGAAAAAAAGGGGTTGCTAACTGCTTGGTGACTCTTTCCAGTAAAGTTAATATTGAAAGACACTCTGCCATAAATATAATGCTCAAATCATATTTAAATCAGGGTTTTGAAGTCCCCTCTCTTGGGGAATGGTACTTTTCCTCTTCAGGTAATTGTGTTTTTCTTTGGAAATAGAAGATAAGGTGGTTAAATGTGTGTATTTAGGCAAAAATCAGTATTAAGAAAATTGGTTTGTTTCAGCAGGTTTTATTTAGAAGACACATTGCCTGTTTTTCCCTGTCTTCTGCTGATCAAACTAAGAAGATTTTTCAGTTCTGATTGAGATAATGTGTGAATATGCCTAACACAGAGTAAATGTTCATTTCTGTTTTCTCCTCTGACAGCACACCACTGGCTTGTTTGACTTAAATCGGAATATCAAGCTCTTGTAATATCACAAACATGAAGAAACATATTGTAAGGCACAAACATGTGCCTACATTTGCCTATATTCCCCTCTCTCCTCCCCTCCTCCTGCCCCATTGCTTAATTAGACTTATCACTGCTTTCTTGGGTAAAAGGAAAGCTCTTGGGAGGTGGGCTATACCCAGCCTACATTGGGTATTTTGATATTTGTTCTAATATTATCTGACAGACAAGTTCACGGTTGGTTATTACTCTTGACATTAGAAAGTGGTAAGTAGTTTCTATATTGTAGTGAGTAATAAGTTGGGCATATTAGATTCCTTTGACTCTGCTGTAGAGCACAATGCTTCCTCGGAGCCATGGGGGTCCTTTCTTTCAAAAATCTTGAGGCCTTTTGGCAGCTCCACTCCAGCATAGAGTAGAGAAGCACTTCTGCACCTGTCACTTCTGAGGGTAAAGGATAACTGTCTTTGTAGCTGATGTTGGCAGTGAGTGAGCACTGGGTACTGAGTTTTAAAGGATGCTCAGTACATATACTGGAGTCAGGAGATGCTTTGTGGTATCTGAAACCTGATGTGAAAGGAAATTTGTGAGGATTTTTTTTTTTTTGCATGTAAATCGTAAGAGTTTGGTGCATGTGGGTTAGAGTATGTTTTAGACTGTAGACATTAAACTGATTTCTATGACCTTTTTCCCAATATTTGCCTGATACTAACATTATGCACTGAGAAATGGCTCATTTTTTCTGATTCTTGATTAGCTTTTGCAATTTATTTAAACATAATTAGTTTTAAAACAATCTATATGGATTTCTGGATGCCACATTATGGAATTAGCTGATGTATCAATAATGCCTCATAGAATGTGCTGAAGTTTTGTTATCCGCTTTTTTTCACTTTTTTAGTTTCCTCTGCCTTTACTCTTTTGTGACATGCCTTAACAGTGCTGTGATATACATAGTACCAGTCCAAGATGATATTAAAAAATAGGATATGCTCAATTGAATTATGTAGGCGGAACATGCTCTGGCAGAGCAAGTCAATGTGCTTTCTGCTTCATTGAGTGGGTTATTAGATTGATGTGGTTTATTTCTTGAATGATAGAACTGGTTTTAAAAATAAATGAAGCGAGAAGCATCAATTCAGTTAGCATTGATAATTCATTATTATTGGTTAGAAAAGTGCTACATTTGTAAACTGATCTATAATTTATCACTTGGATTAGGATTTGCAATGGGCAGGTTTGTTTTAATTTGAACCAGCTTCTCGATGACTGAACAATGTGTTCTTCATTTTGTCTTGAAGTTGGGATTTTAAATAGTTAAAAAGCAAATCAAATGCATGAAAGGAATACTTTTTTAAAATTTATAATGTTGGTCTGTGAACTTACGATAAGCACCAACTTATCTGTCCAAGTCTGCAGTTAAATTAAGTCAAGCTAGAGAAAATTTTATGAAGGAAGTAATAATTAATTACTTGTATATGTGTTCAGCTATGTGTATATATGCCGTGTATGTGGAGATGTGTCTCTTGGGAAAAGTCTCACGCACACGCACGCACCCACTGTGCATTGTGTCTCATATAGTGGTGTTCTTAATGCAAGAAGCTTTTATGAATAAGTCTTTGAAATGTTGCTCTGCTTTTTGTTTCCTTTTTGTACACTTCCCCTGAATAATGCCATTTGGTCTTATTACCTACATATTTGTAAAAAGATATTTAATCTGGTAGTTTGCTTTGGATTTTCACAAATTACAAGCAGGTAAGTGTTCCCACTTATAATGACACTGACTGAAAATAGTGCATACTTAAAATTATTATTGTTTGATTACAAAATAAATTTATGCCAGAGATGGCAACTTCTTTATAAAGTAAGGAAATGAAGTTTTAAAGTCTAGAAAAAATGTAGTTGACAACATTCAGGGACAATTATCTTCATGTTGGCTTTCTATTCTGCTTGTGGTTTGGCCTATTGATGTAGGGAAGCGTTGTCTAATCCCGGCCCCTCTGTTCCTAGGTAACAGGCAAAAACAGTGCCAGCAACAGCGGCCCTGCCAGGCCAAACCCATGTGGCTCAGTGTTATTCACTCTGATCCATATGGTCAGGCTGGAGATGGTCCCTGGAGGGGTGTTAACACTCAGCAACCCAACCGCCTCCCTCCCTTCAGAGCTTTCCTGCATGGCCCCTGCTGCTTGCCCATGTGTGATTCTTGATTAATTTTTCATTTTTAATGAAGTTTGATCATGTTTATTATTTCTCATGATTGACTGCCTGTACTCCTCCCATGTAATTGATAAAGCCCATATTTCTTCATCTGTCTCCTCTTTCTTTAGGGTAAAGTTGCTAGACTGTGTGCCGTGCTTAATGCTAGATTTATTGGTCCCATTAGATGTATAAATTATCTCTCTTTCTCTCCACAGGAAGTTCTACAGACTTTGACCAAGTTTTGTTTCCCCTTCTGTGTGGACAGGTAGTGTCAGATTTTCAAACTTTACTAGAAAAAAAGTGTCAATAAACCTGCTATGGAAAATAAAAACCATACCATTCTTAACATTCCGTCTGTTTAACCAAGATTTAAAACGTCTATGTTCGAAGGGGAGTTGCAGTATTCTCCTTTCCTGGGGATTTTATTGACACTATCAAAAAGTTTAAAGCTTGGAGCTTTGCACTGGTTGATCTTTGAGGTGTATTTCGCATGACATTAAACTTTTGATTTTGGTTATCAGACTTGAACCATGATTAAGAATGGTTGGTATTTATTCCAATGCTATTTCATTTTTATTTAAGTATGAACATATTTAACTTAAGTAACGTTGCATTATTCCATGGCCTTATGAGTATTATATGGACTTCGTTTTTCTTTGATTCAACATAAAATTTAAATTACCACAGGCCTATCTTGTTTAAAGGTGTTCAGCTATTTGAAAGACATGTTGCTTAATCGTGTCTTGCATTTTAGGTGTCTAAGAATGGTATCTCTGGGGAACTAAGCATTTTCTATAGGTTCTATACAAAAATATAAAATCATTTGAACATTTCCTTAGATTTTTGCATTATGGTAAGCTCTTGGAAAGGTATCCATATAAGAACTCCAAGACAGTTAAAATAGTCTGGCGGATTAAAAAAACAAACAAACACTGGTTAATGGTAACAATTTTGGAAGAGCTTTTTTTTCTCTTTTTCAACTGTATAAAACTATAATTTACTAACAATACTAATAAAATGTCAAAACAGTCCTCTTAATCTTATTTTCAAGAAATGTCTACTGTGTGTTTCATTACATTTTAAGCATTATTTTTGCAGTCATTTGTCCACTTGATTGTTTACTCTAATTTTCTCCTAGAGAATTGAACTATGAACTGTGCCTACATTATGTCTTAAAAAGTCCACTTTTAGTGACAGTTTTTAGAATATATCATAAGTAATGACTGCCATAATATGTTCTAAGAAAGCTATAAAATGGCCCATCTTCAAGAAGAGTCTATCTTGTATTTTAGTGTACCCATGCCTGGCAGGCCTGAAGGGTTTTACTGGTTTCGAGTGCACGTGGGTAGTGTGCTGCTTGGTCCTTTCTACACTTTTGTAGGAGCGGTGTCCCACTTTGTTTGGCAGAAACCTAAAAATGGTGTGAGATGAGAATTGGTAGCCAAAGGAGTTTAAAAGAGTACTAAAAAGCAGCACTGGAATGTTGCCAACCACTTATAATCACTGTTTTCCCTGGTTCTAACATGTTATTTTTAAGCCAATCAGCCATTGTAGTATTTCCAGACTTGCGCTTTTTTAAAACCTGGTACCAGGGTTGTTTAGTAGTTAGCGGGTTGATGCTCAAAACAGAATAGCCTTAATTTTAAGAGGGTCGGTCTTTGTAATGAGAGTCCTCTTGTCTCTTCTTTATCCTGTTCCTTCTAAAAATAGCAAGGAAGTAGGGTTTTGTTTAGAGACATTTAATGCAGACTTCACATTTATATGTATGAATTAGCGATGCATGAAATTTCCTCCAGTCACTTATAAAATGTATTACAAATTATGGCAAGGGCATATTTATATAAATTAATAAAGCTGAAATGTTCTTTAAAATGTGGTTAGGTATGTAACAAAGAAAAACAAAAATACATTTTTACATGACTTCTTGTAAGAGTGGTGATCTGTTTTGGATAGGTATTCCTTAATTAACTTTGTAAACTAATATTGAAAGAAATGCACAATGAGATTAAATCCACCCCAACACACACACACCCCTCCCTCCCTCTCACACCAACCACACTGCTCTACTTACCTGTCTGGGTGATTACATTCTTAGATGGAAAAAAAGCAGAGTCCCTAAATAATTCTAAAATCTTTTTTGTCACCAATGTCCTGATGCATTTTTGTTGTTGTTAGAATATTTTTCTTCTAAAAACACTTCTCTCTAGATCACCCTCCCCTAATCATGTTTCTCATATTTTTTCACAGAACGATTTGGGACAGAAATGTCCCTTTATGGATCTATTTTAATCCTTGCCTTGTACAGTGGTTCTTTTCTTACATTTCATTATATTCCACACCCTATAGGTGTCGGTAACTTTTATTGATACAAACAAAACAAAACAAAACAAAACTCCACTTTGAGGACTATATTTTTTCTCTTCTCTTCCCCACTTCTTTGCGGAGTTTCATGTAGAAGAGATAATAATAATGAAGTTTACTTACAATAAACACAAAGTTTTTAATGTTACTAATTTTTTTTATTACTTTGCAGTTAGCACTGTCAAATGGCTATGCCCAGATTCTGAGGCCCACAGAGCCCCCCCCAGATGTATTTTTGATATTGTTTGCCTTAAAAAATATGTGAGCATGGGAGATGAGTAATGCCCTAGGTGATTATGTTCCAAAAGAAAGCTTCCTAATCTTTTCAGTTTCTGTGCCTTTCTACCCCAAGGAACAGTAATACAACTTTCTGACATTTCTAGTCTATATCAAGAGTGGGATTTTCACAGTCATCATCAAATCACCCGTTAACATTGACATCTTACTGTCTCTTGTGTTGTTTTAAGATTTTTCTTTCTGAAACTAGGACTTATGAAAAATAATAATGCCAGTAGCTCTTCAAAAGAAAGTGCTTTCTCATGTATCACCTCATTTTATCCTCCTATCCTAAGAGATGAGAACAGGTGCTGTTATCTTTGAAAAAAATCTAAGCTGCAGAGAAATTAGAATTTGCCCTAGGTCCCCTAAGGTTGCTAGCACAACGTAGATGTCCATCCCCCAAATGAATGAATACATTTTTCTGTAGAACATCTTGTGGGAAGATGAGTCACTAAATAGAGCAGAAAGGAAGGAAATTTATATTTGAATTCCTAATTGATTCTAGTCAGCATGCTGGCCATTTTCACATTAGTACTTCATTTGTTTTTCCCTGCAACTCTAAAAGATAGATGATGGTGGTAGCTCTTTTACAAAAGAGCAAAGGAAGGTTCCAAATGTGTAGCATTATTGTTGGGTGATATGGAAATGGTATTAGACTTGGAGTTCTGTCCTCCATGTGTTTCTCAGTCTAGTTGAGGAAGTATTATAAATACACATTAAACAGTATCTCTCCAAAAGGACAGTGAGGTTAGGGAAGACTGAGATGGTCAGAGAAAACTTTCACAGTGGGGGAGACTTGTGTTGAGTCTGCAAGGAGCGTAAGAAGCGGTTAAGTGGAAGGGAGAGCCTAATACTCCATATGTGCTGAAGAGCAAAGCAGAGGAGAAACCATGAGTGAGCCTAGAGATTGTTCAGCTCAAGCAGATGGAGCATGCTGGGGAGAGGGTGATGTGTACCGTGATAGCTTGGGCTCTGGCTACAGGAGGCCTTGAAAATGTGCGTAAGATGAAATTCATCTGGCTCAAATGTCCCATTTTACAGAAGGGAATCCAAGATTTGTAGAGGTGAAATGATTTGCTTATGGTCACAACTAAGTAATAACAGAGCTGGGAAAGAAACACATACTCTTATTCCCAGTGCAGAATTCTTCCTTCCTTCCTTCCTTCTTAAGCTTTATTTATTTATTTGTCAGAGAGAGAGAGAGCGCGCACATGTACACACATAAGCAGGGGGAGTGGCAGGCAGAGGGAGAAACGGGCTCCCCGGTGAACAAGGAGCCTGATGCTGGACTCGATCCCAGGACCCCGGGATCATGACCTGAGCTGAAGGCAGACGCTTAACCGACTGAGCCACCCAGTGCAGAGTTATTTCTACCTTATGTTGTCCTTGAAGCTCTTGGTGGAGAGGAGTCTTGAAATGACAGTGCTGAGAGATCCCTGTTATCACTCTCAAAAACTTATCCTTATTGATGAAAGCTGTTTCTTAAAAAAAAAAAAAAAAAGGAAAAAAAGAGATTTGTATACCATTTCGTACTGTGGTGCTACTTGCTTGCACTTGGTAGCTGGCAGCCTGCTTCAGTCAGAGCACTCGAGACTCACTGGAGAATGGAAAAGCTCTTCCTTTCCAGGTTTGTGCTTATCCTCTTTTGGAACCCAGTGAGTCGGCTATCATTTAGTTGCTCTGTAAATCATCCTGTATCCCAGTACGCACAAATGACATGAGCACAAAATGAAATGACATAATCTTTTAAGGGTCAAAGGAAGGCATAGTTTAGTGATTTAGGATGTAACCACAGATGCAGATGTGATTCACACGCCATTTACCGTTTTGTTATGTCTGTTATGTGCCAGGCGTTGTGCTGTGTTCTCCTCCTGCTCTAAAAATTTACACATTCACAACTTACCATTACTGTAATGCCGTATGGGGAAACGGACTCAGAGAGGTTCAGTAACTTGTCCAAGGCCCCACTCCTAGTAAGTGGTAGAGCTGCTTTTGGAACCCCCATTAATCTGACTTCCAGTTCCACCTTCCTTTTTCTACTTAGTCATACCACCTCCATTAGATCCATTAGACCATAACTAAAGTATCCAAAAAAACTTTCAAAATTTCTCTTTTTAAAAAAGATTTTATTTATTTGAGAGAGAGGGAGAGCGTGCACGAGTGGGGGGGGGGCGGAGCAGAGGGAGAGAGAGAAACAGGCTCCCCACTGAGCAGGGAGCCAGACGCGGGCTTGATTCCAGGACCTGAGATCATGACCTGAGCTGAAGGCAGATGCTTAACCAACTGAGCCACCCAGGCAACTCTCAAACTTTCTTTCAAAAGCAATGTATATTTATTGTAGAAAAGTAGCAAATGCTGATAACTGAAGAAGAACCCTATGCAGAAAATGAAACTCATATGCATGATTAGTGTGCTTGTCTGTATCTGCCCAGACCTTTGCTCTTGTTCCACGTCTGCACGTTCATCCTGCTCTGCTTTGCAAAACTGAATTCCTTTGGCCCACTTTCATCCCTTGTGTTTCATCTTTGGTTTAGTCCTTTGGTTTGGTCCCATGAGTTAAGCTGTGCCCTGTGATCATTTTCTACAGCATTTGATAACAATGAAGCACTTAGGCCTTAGTGGAGA